TGGATATTCACTGGGATTTTGCCTGCATGCCTAGATCTCCTCACTATCTCACTATATGACTGGAAGCTACCCACATTGAACAGATGAATAGATTAAGGGCTGGGAAGGTCATGAGGCAGTAGGCCTTGGATTTTGTCATGAGTGCTTTTTTATTTTTAGACTGGAATGGTTTTGGAAAGGCATGTGACTCCTACTGATCTCTTTAATTGTTTGGATCAACCTTGTTGAATTCAGGAAGGAAGGGTTCTGCTTTTCTGGTGTTGCATTCATTCTGCTTGGAGGTGGGGCTGTTACGTGCTTCTCGATAAAAATACAGCCATCTCTATGTGCAGAAATGGCTTAGATTAAAAATTCGTGAATGTTGCTGAGTTGCAATAGACACAATTGAAAAAATGTCATTCCTCTTGCTCTGTCTTTAAGAGCAATGATTAATGTCCCATTGCAGGATGATCTATGTGCCCATAGATTACTGCCCGAATCAGGGTGTCTGCTTTATGACTTATTGTTTGCCTGTGATCATCGAACATTTTAGTTAAAGATAAGTGAGGATTAAAGTACTTTCCTTTTTGTCTTGGCAAGATTTTTTTTAAAGGAAGAGGAAAAATAAGAAAAATCAGGTAGGAAAAGATTTCACTGATGCTTGGATGAAATTAAGCAACTAAAATCAAATTAATCATTTATCTGTGAGCATGTAAAAAGTTTGTCAGATACTTACCAGTAAAAACCCTAAGAACCTTTGCTATGCTAGACAGCTAGATATCACTATTGTTTGGTATATCACAGGATTATAGAGATGGGTGTATTAGCAACTCATGTAATTTTATAACTCTTGAAAAACAATTAATGAATTTCGGGTTTCTAAATTAGAGAAACTTAAAATGAATATGCATTATTGATCCAGCTCCATTTTGCGATGTTTGCTGGTATGCCTGTGTGTGTGTGTGTGTGTGTGTGTGTGTTTTCCCGTGGTTTTCCTTTCCCACTGTGGCAGAAGAAGGAGAAAGCAAGCTGGTCTTTTTAATTTATTGCATTACATTAGTTGCACGATAAGACTCTTTGAAGATGATTGTCTTGTGAATTCCAGTTCCAGATCAGTGGACATTTGGCTGGAAGGATTTATCCTGTGTGCTCAGAGAATTGGGCTTTAAATCAGTGTTAGTGGAGGCTGCAGAGAGCTCGGGTTTTACAACTGCAATAACTAACTCACTGGGGAAGTGTGTATGTGACCCTTTTCTGATATTCCGAGGGAAGTGTGTGTTTGATCATCATTGCTTTACATTCTAAAATGCAATACAACAGAAACATTAGCTTTCCTGTAGCCATGGGTTTGTTTCACAAGGCAAAAATGATTCCATATACTTTGCAATTTGTAGGGGAATTGAACTTTTGAATCCACCGAAGAACACTTAGATTGAATTATATCAGGATCAGGGGACATTTTAAGCCAAAGGTAGCTTAAGTCCCTCTAAACATTCTCTCTCTCTCTCTCTCTCTCTCTCTCTCTCTCTCTCTCTCTCTCTCTCTCTCTCTCTCTCTCTCTCTCTCTCTCTCTCTCTCCTTCTCCTTTCTCTTTTGAAAGAGACGTTACTTAAATTGATGGCAAAAATACCCCTAGGAAAACAGAAAAGTACAGATTTATTTTTTATCCATGTATTTATGTATCTACCCAAGAATTTATTTTTCAAACAAGTCCTCACAGAAGTTAAGCTTTGTGTTTTAGAGTGCCTTGTTTGATACTGGGAGGAGGCTGACATGAGTTATGACAGAAAATGCATAATTCTTTGACAGCACAGAGGGAGTGATAGAATGTCCCAAAGAATATTATATCCCTACAATGAAGAGAAAAGATACTATATGATGGCTTGGTCTTCATGACCTCCTAAGATCCGACTCATGTTGGTAGAGCTTTGTGCTTTGTGTGCTAGACTGTAAGATGCAGTCTTGTACGAGATGTCCAAGTCCATAGATAACACCCTGAAAGTCTTCAGGGCTCCCTGGGTGTGGTCTCCCAATGACAGAAACCCACTCACAGTCTCTAAACTGTGGTTTTGACTGTGTTCTTTTACCATAGGATTAGAAACCTGCTGACTTCCCTCTTTTTAAAAGTTTATTGGTGCATTTACAGCTGTCTAGTGCACAACTGAGCAAATCCATTTTCCAACACATTAGCCCTTGGCTGTCTGTATTAAGCCTGTGATCAACTATAACCGATAGGCAGTTTTGTAATCCATGCAAAATATTGCAAAAGTTTCTGTGTTCCAGTAATTGATCATTTTGAATCTTAAAGTAGGATTTCATATTTACCTTAAAAGTTCCTTGACTTTGCTTTAAATGCTACAGTTTAAAGATAATTTTTAAACCTTAATTTTGACATCCCCTTTGTTAGCCATTCTTTCTCAATCTATGGAATCAATAAACTTGTTTAATATGCAGCCTATATCTTTATATAGGTCATTGCTACAAACGTAAAGGGAAGCAGGTGGGAGGACATGGCATTAGCTCTCCTCACAAGTCACTTCCTTTGGAATATGTGTGTTTAGGTGTAAGTCAGTTTAGCCAGGCATGGTGGCATCCCCCTGTAGTACTAATACTTTGAGGCAGGATGGGTATGAGGTTAAGAGCAGCCTCGGCTACATGGTGAGACCCTCTTTCAAAGAGGAAGAGAGAGGAAAGAAGTCAGCCTGAGCATTAAGCTCACTGATATATTATCCAGATAGACTCATAAATAAATGTTATATCTATATTGATCAATTTTGCAGGAAAGCCTCTATCTACCTGCATGTGGTAGTCTGCAAGAAAATGGCCCTCATATAGGGCAGTACTATTAGAAGGTGTGGCCTTGTTGGAGGAAGTATATAACTGTTGGGGGTGGCTTTTGAGGTCTCCTTTGCTCAAGCTACACACAGTGTTATACACAGTACTCTTCCTGATGCCTGTAGATCCATATGTAGAACTCTCAGCTATATCTCCAGCATCATGTCTGCCTGTGTGCTGCCCCTTGTTTCCTGCTGTGAGGATAGTGGACTAAACCTCTGAAACTGTAAGCCAGCCCCAAATGAAATGTTTTCCTTTAAAAGAGTTGCTTTGTTCATGGTATCTCTTTACAATAATAGGAACCCTAATTAAGATACAAACCAATTTCTCATTTATTCTTGCTATTGAGGTTTAATTAAATAGCAAATATTTTTATTCTCTGTGATGGTTAACCTTAGTCATCAACTTGACTGGATTTAGAACCAATTAAGTAAAATATCTCTGGGCATACCTGTGAGGTTATTGAAGTAGGAAAACCCATACCAAGTGTGGGTGCCATCTTCTGGCATGGTCTAGATATACAATATTTGCCTTTGTGTCTTATTGGCAAGTTCATCTACACTATTTGGCAATTCATCTATCCTGCTGCTGCTTGACCCCTTTTTACTGACATCATAACTCAACTTAAGTCTTGCAACATGGACTGAAGGTCAGTGGCTCTTTGGGAATGCATCAGCACCAGGCTGCAACTGCTGAGGCATCTAGCTCCGTGGGAACAATAACGATTAGACTTTCAGGCTCTACAGGTTTTTTTTTTAACACTAATGAAACTCATTGGGGAAAAAGACTGGAAAGTAGATTGAGAAGCTTATTGGGAAGAGGAAGGGGCAAGAGAGGGTAGTGGAGTGAATATTATAAAATACATCATGTACATTCATGAAAATGTCTAGAAATAATGACAGTATTCTGAATTGGTAGAGTATGATGGTTGTCCCACTACCAGCTCATCTAAGACCTTGGGAATATCTGCACAAAGATGTCATATCTGGTGCTTTTCCTTGGATCCATGCCTTTTCCTAAATGTCTTTAACTGTAGTTTACAATTTTCTATTGGGATTACATTTCAAGCTGCCTATTTAGAATTACTTTTTTCTTTTTTCTTACTTTATGCTTACTATGCACTAGGCATCTCTTCAAATGTTACACAAGTTTTATCTCACTTGTGTATTATCCTAATGCTATGAGGGTTAGCACCTACAATACACAAGCAAGGAATGAGAGTTGTCACATGTTAAAACCTTTCCCAAGGACCTTGAACTAATGCAAGATCTGAAAAAAAATCCAACCCATGCAGTTGGACTCCTGGGATTTTGTATTTTTGTACTAATTCCCAGAAAGTAGCTTAAAAGATCTGTATTTGAAATGTGACACCAGAACCAAATTCTGAATCCAAAACCAGTAACAAAACCCACAAGTATTTTTGTTTTCTCTGTAAGATTATTTGAAGCCACATGACAAAGTTAAGAAAATATGAATTTTCTATGGTGCCAGCAAGAACTGATAAAATTGTATAACCTGAAGGACATAACTAAGTAACATACTCATAGGTAGGTATAGGGAACATTCCCTGGCTTTTAGCTCAGCTTGCAATATTAGCCATCAATGTATATATACGCACATTGGTCTGAGGAGGAGGAGGTAGTAGCACCAGATCAGAATACCCGGAAACATCAGATCCTTTCTTTTATGAAAGGCATACATTTCACATTGTGAGAATGCATGTTTGTGTGTGTGCTCCTGAGAGTAAAATATTTAGTTTAAAAGGAAGACAAAGAAAACCAGCTCTGAGACATTTCATTATTTCTGCTCACTTATTTAGTGTTTCTGTATTGTATTGCCTGGTACATATTAGTCCCCGATAAATGTCTGTCAAATGAATGAACACATTCCCACAATAACCATCCACAGATCTGGAGTGAAAGAAGAGGAGAAGTTAGGATGCATTTTTTTTTTCACAAGGCCTCTTTGTCTCTGTTGCATATTTTCGTTCACTGCAGTTTCTTCCTCTTCAAGGATGTTACTTACTGTGGCAGGGACACCCCTCTCTCACCAACTCCAGGCACGTTCTTCATTTTGAAACACATAACTTATTTATTATGTTATGCAAATGAAGGCACAGCCAGTGACACCATGCTCTGTGAAAGGCAGAAAGAAAAGAACCCTATAAATACAAAGAATCTGGACCAGAGAGCATTTTATTACAAGCCTCACTCCTTCCTTAAAGACAGTAAACATGATGAATTTCTCTTTGCAACTGAATTTATGAAGATAGATGGTTTTCTCTGTGGTTGTTTTAACCAGGTTTGCCTTGTAGTCTGAGGCAGAGCTGCAAACCCACAGACACATTCATTGCTGTCCCTAATGACAGGATGCCATGTCTTATGTATGACTGAGTGGGACTTCAGAAAGTGACACAGTGTTCTACCATAGGAATGGCAGCGGCATCTTCTCTTTCCGTGTTGCATTGGAAGGGACCCAGTGTTTTCTTTAAGAGAAACCTTGGGCTGCTTTAATTCCCACAACTTCTTGTGGCACAGTTTTCAGAGTCAGATTGATAAAAAAAACTCTTTTGCTGACACTTTTTAAAAATGCCAACTTAGGACTTGGTGGCACACAGTTTTGTATCTGGTTCTCCTTCATTCAGTCCACATTTTGACTTTTTGCTGAGCTGACACAGAAGGGAGAAGTAAAAGCGAGGGGGAGAGGGAGGAGCTGTGAAGCCTGTGAGCTCCATGCATAAATGCCTTTCTCACTCAACACTGTTCAAGCCTGAGTGCTCAGGCACAGCCACAAGAGGGAATGGGCTCCATGGTGTTAATGATGACAGCTCGCATCGTTGGCTATGCAGATCACAGAAGAAAGCCATTCTGCTGAGCTCCAATTCCATCAGGATCATTTACCTTTTGAAGGATAGAAAAGAATGCATTGAAGATCAAAATCATCAGCCTTATTTGGCTTCATCCAAGATTTATGGCAGCTGCTTTCAAGGACAACTGAGAAAACCAACTGCAGAATTCACATCTGTACCATTTCTTGTCTTTCAATATTTTATAAATGTTATGAGCAAAGTCAATCTCTGGGGACATTAAAATTAAACAGCCTCTGTCCCTTCCCTATATTGGAGCCAGCACACATATCAATAATCTCTGTATTTTAATATTCTCATTTTGTACCATACCTTTTAGAATAGATGTTTCAGAAGCCTGAGCATAGTTTACTGTTAATTTACTAGGGGTTATCATGATGTGGGATTCATGCCTTTGTAGTGTGAAAGGCATTAAACTTTGATTTAAATTGTTAATAATAAAGTACCTGTTATTTCCAGCTTTCCATATGAATTCATGCTGGAAAAAGCAAACATTTAGTGACTATCAACCAACATTTGAAATGAAGACATATTGTCCTTAATTTGAGTGCCTTGATATGTTGCTAATGATAAACAAAACTCAAGTCATTAAAAAAAGAGTAAGAGGACATTTGCTGTGATCTCCAAGGAAGTAAATACTGTTGCTTTGGTTCCCAGAGATTCTTTGATTAATTTTGACAGCAAGAAATATTTCTTGAATCCATATGATAAAAGACCGTAATATAAGCGAGCCCGATACAGAGGCTCACAAATTATCCCGAGGATCAAGCATCATGGACAAAAATTGATAAGGCAAATTAGCTTTCTATTTGCAAGATTCTCACGGGCTCTGAACTTTTTTTTATCGTAAAACATTTTTAAAGCAGTCCTGAGTGGTGTCACTCCTACAGATCCTTGCGGTACTTTCCATTATTTACAACAAATAAAGGCTTTTTTGCAACTAGATCTGCCAGCGTTTTGACTCTTAGCTGCTATATTTCTTGTCACAAGGAAGGTAAAATGTCAAATGCCAAAAAGAAATGGACATGAGTTCCCTAAATTAAGTCTGACTCCCTGGGAAATGTTGAATATTGAATGAGCAACTGTTGCTGAAGGGAGTGGTGGAGCCAGAGAGATCTCAGTTCAAATATGTGTTCTGCCTGAGTAGCTGGGTCACCTTGGACAAGTTACTTCACATCTCTGATGTTAAACCCAGCATCTTTTGTTTTTCCCGATACACACAGAGAGAGAGAGAGAGAGAGAGAGAGAGAGAGAGAGAGAGAGAGAGAGAGAGAGAGAGAGAGAGAGAGAGAGAGAGAGAGAGAGAGAGAGAGAGAGAGAGAGAGAGAGAGAGAGAGAGGAGAGAGAATGTGACTTCCTTGGGAGCCATCTTATGAGGCAATTGGACTGCAGATAGTCCTTATCCCATAGGGTACTTCTCTTGGCCTTGACCTGTGTGTTTCATTCTGCCTTTGGTTTTCTCAGCTCTAGTTACATTGTTTCTGGGTAGTTTACAAAGCATACTGAATTTGTTTCTGCTTCAAGTTGTTGGTATTTACTGTGTCTTATACACGGAACAAGTGTTCTCCTGTTTTCAGCAGGAGGCAAGAAATGATTTACTCACCTCTTAGACATTATTTCCTCAAGAGGTACTTCTCTTTCATTCTTAATAAAGTAGCTCCCTCACTACCATTTTATGCTCCCCCAACTTTTAATATAAAATTATACTTCCTGATATTTTTATCATCTCGTATTGTCTGTCTTCTTTCCTGCTTTAGCTACCTTGCCTTGCTTAGTACAGAAAACACTACATGATGGTGATGATGATGGTGATGATGATGGTGGTGGTGATGGTGGTGGTGGTGATGGTGGTGATGGTGGTGATGATGGTGGTGGTGATGGTGATGATGATGGTGGTGGTGATGGTGATGATGATGGTGGTGGGGATGGTGGTGATGGTGATGGTGGTGGGGATGGTGTGATGACGGTAGCTACAGTAAGAATAGTGAGCACTTAAGCAGCTCTGCCTGCCTGTGTGCTGCCACTGTTCTGTCTGAATGTGTAGGCACTGTCTAATCCTTCCTAAACAACATGATGTAATGTGATGGTTAAGCTTTATCTTCAGTTGGTTGGCGGGAGAGACACCTAGACTATCTGAGCGTGTATGTGAAGTATTTCTAGGGATGACTGGTGTCTGAGGAGAGAATGTGGCCTGTACTGTCCAATAGGGTTCTTGAGGGAAAGAAAGGGAAGGTGAAGCCCAGTTAGTGTAGGCACAGTCTCTTTCTGCTTCTTGGTTGCAGAGCAGCCTTACACCATTCTGTCCTCTCAGCCATGGTACTCTGATTCAGTAAGGTCCCAGTGATGGGGCTGCTTGCCTCCACGTACTCTAACCTCTGAAACTGGGGGCTAAAATAAGTGTTCACCACAACAGTAGAAAGCCTGACTAGTATGGTCTGGGGCTGTGATTTTCTCATACTGAAGGTACAGAAAATGAGTCACACTAGCTACATGAGTTACCTAATAGTACGTCAATGACAAGAAAGTGAGCATGAATTCTACTGAGAGCAGACTTTTATTTCACTTTTCACAGAAGCTTTCTTAGGCAATGGGTTTAGGACACACTCTCCCATAAAACAGCAGTTTGGCATTTGAGAGAACAGGTTTCTTTGATTTTGTCCCTATCCTTTCTGTCTGATGCAGGCCCTAAAACAATTCTTGAACTTTCCCCTAAAGTCCTAAAATATTGATTCCAGAAGTGTCCTTCCTATACTTAGAGAGAAAAGAGACATTTCTTCATTTTATTAGTTCTTAGAGTTAGAGATGGCAAGAAGAATCTGAACAAATAACTCTACAAAATCCTCCTGTTACCATTGCATCATGTATTATTACATTTTTACCAATCATATTTCTCTGTGATTCCTTTTCTTTCTGAACCTTAGGGTAACCTGTTTATCAGAGTGTTTGTTTCTGAAGGCCTTTGCTATTAAACATCCATGTCAAATAAATTCAAATGCTTTTGTCTTATGAGTGTTTATTTTGGTAAAGAGGTCTCAGCCATGAGCCTAGTGATGGGTGGCAGAAGAAAACTTTTCTCCCTGATGTTGGGCGCGAGCCTGAACATTATTGTAGCTTGGTCCTGGAGGGACACTGGCCCACTTGAGCATGTGGCTCTGGAAGGCCTTACCTTTCTCCCCATTCCCTCTGCCTTGGAAAAAAACATTGAACTACATCGCTAAAGCTAGCCACCAATATCTATTACCTTATTTGGCCACTTCCTCTCCTGAAGCTCACTACCAAGGTCCAGCAGTGAGGTTTGATTTACCCAATTAAAACATGTCCAATTAAAAATTAAACACTTCACCCCAATGCAGGGTTTCCTTTACGTTTATAAACAGCCATTTCCCTCGGGCCACGTCTGTCTCCTCTCTATGCAGAGGCAGTCCTCTGTCCCTACAGGACAAATAACCTGCCCCTTTCCCTTGTCCCTTTCTTCCCATCCCCTGCCTCCTTTACCACCCCATCCTAACCCATTCTAACACAGACCTCTCCTGTTCCTCTTTAAAATTACACCTGCAAGCTCATTTGCTGCTGTTTTTCTGCCTGAGTAAGAAAGCAGCCACTTTAACTTTCTTTCCCTGATTGACAAACAGGTGGTTACTGGGGTTTGTTCCGAATCTGTGGTCTGGAAGGGAGCCCCCACTCTTTGGGGGTCTCCTTCAGGCCCTTAGCTCTTTACTCTTCTCCTCTGTCCCTCACCTGCCTGCCCCACACTGCTGCCTACTTATTGCAGGGTGGCATTAGCTTCTAGGTTTTCCCAGCTGCCAAGAAGTGGTGACTGGATTTTCTTGTATTCATGTTGCTCAGATAACATATTGGGTGCTCTGAACTTTGGGGAAATGATAAGACTTTAGGAGGCGGTGTTCAGACTTCTGCGGGAGGTTAGACACAAACCGTTGGTCCAAACGAAACCACCTATAGGCAACATGTGAGCTGTGCTAAGGAATTGTGGAGTGAAGGATCTGTTCGTCTTAAGCGTATTTCTTGCTGAGGTAGTGAGTTTTCAGACCAGTGGGCAGACGTTCCTGGGGCTTCTGCTGCAGTTCCTTTGTTTATGTCTCAGACACTGTTTTCCCTGTGTTGAAGATGCAGTGCCCTACCTTGCACTGAGAGTGTCCCCTAGGACTCTGGAGATGTGTGGGTAAGACTGTGGACAGCTGTGGTGGAGAGTTAGCTGCTGCTGTGGCTGTCACTTTGCCAGCCGTCTGGTGCCCCAGACATTGTCATCCCTAGCTTTATTTTATGCTTGATGTCAGGATGACGACTTGAGGGATGACCCACTTTTTCTAGAGTCAGATTGTGTGACCCTTGTGACAGTCATTTTCCACACAGAAGAGGGGTTTCCTTTTCCTTTTGGGTTCTAGATGGTTAAGATGAGTGTGGTTTTTAAAATAGTGAGTGGGGTGTTAACATTTTACTATTAAAATCATGATTATACCTTATAATTACAAAGTGTGTGATTTGATACTTAAGTATCAATTTATTCCTACATTTATGTCAAATGTTTGCTGCATTCGGCATGCACACGGAGTCCTGGAAATGATGCTTAGCCTCGGAATTACTGTGCTGCTAAGCAAAACCAGAAGAATTTGTGCCCTTGTGGAGCTGCAGAATGGTAGAAGGCTGTCCCCAAGCACATCAGTGTAAAATCACAGCTCTCATAAGGTGTATGAAGAAGCAGCCATACTCCAGGGACTGATCTGAACAGGGAGGCTAGGACAAGCTACCCCGAGGAAATGGCTCTGAACTAAGCTGTGAAAGACGTATCAGGCATAACGAGGGCAGAATTTATGAAACGCACTATCCTTTGTAAAGGGATTTCCCATTCACTCTTCCACCCTCGATCTCCCACTAACCGGCGGGTCCTTTTAGTGGACAATGACTAGGGTATTAAGAGAAGCTCCGTGTGTGGCCTCAGGTCAGTCACAGCACTAGTTCAGGTAGAACAGGAACCAGACATCTGTCTTCTGACCTCTCTGAGATGATGCCACAGATCTGGGTGCAAACTATGTTCTTCTAGTTATTATTCAGGCAAATGACATTCTTCTAGTTAGTAGGTAGCCTTCGGCATTCTCACGTGTAAAGTGGTTGACTGCTAATGTTCTTTTCACAGAGCTATTGAGCAGATGAGATGGCATAATACATTAGCTAACATTTACTTTTCCTTTAAGTCATTTCTTTGTGACTTTTCGTCTCTCTACTGCTTCACACTTGGAATGCAGACGGAGGCATTCTAGTCTGTGAGAGGGGGAGATCTTGGGAATCATCCTGAGATCTCGTATGTATATTAGTTCTGGTTACTCAGCATGGATGTATGTACTTCAATATGTCCTTTCAAATATATCAGGCCATTTCTTCCTAGTGACCTAGCAACTACATCTGTTTGATGCATCTGTTAGCTTTCCAGAAAAGTTACCATAGGATGATCACTCTAGGACTAGGATTAGTAACATTTTTTTTTCTGAAGCTCTCATTTAACTCAGTTATAGTTACTAACTTACTACAGTTCTTGGATACATTTGCTTCTTCTCTTTTAAAATATGCTTTAGGCACTTAGATTGTATGGCTTTATTAGTTTAGTTTAAATATCAAGTGTAGTGCTGGGGAAACCCACAGAAACAGTTGCTCTGTCTTAGCGAGAGCACAGGGACCCAAGTCATGAAGTTGGGGAACCAGCATTGGACTGAATCAAGCCCTCTGAATGTGAATGCTAACTAGAAGGCCTGGGCAGTCTATGGGACCTCTAACAGTGGAGCCAGTGTTTATTCCTAGTGCCCAAATGCATTTTGGAAGCCCATTCACCATAGAGGGATACTATCACAGTTCAGAGACATGAAAGAGGGCCTAGGTCCTCCCCCAAATAATGTAGTGGACTTTGATGCCCCCATGGAGGGCCTCACTATCTTTGGGGAGTGCGTGGGAGTGGGTGGGGGGTGGGAGGGCATGGGAGGATGAAAGGGTGAGGGAAAGGGAGGATTGATATGTAAAATAAGATTGTTTCTAAAATAAAAACTATAAAAAATAAAAAAGCCAAAAAAAACAAATAAAAAAATAAATAAGTATCAAGTGTGACTTCTAGGAAGAAGGCAGCTTGAAAAGGATGGATTATAGAACCAGAGGCTCTGAGTCCATTCTGCTACACTTACCAGAAGGGTAGTCTTGGTTGTTCAACTGTTTTGGCCTTGGTTTCTTTGTCTGAAAAATGTGGAGACAAACAGCTTCTTTATAGATATTAGTTAGCCAGGTATGCTGGCTTATACCTTTACTTTCAACATAGAGAGGCAGGCAAGTGGATTTCTGATTTCAAGGCCAGCTTAGTCTTCATAGGGAATTATAAGACAGTCCAGGCTCTACAATGAGATTCTACATATCCTCTCCCCCCTCTCTGTCTGTCTGTCTGTCTGTCTGTCTGTCTGTCTGTCTCTCTCTCTCTTTCACACACACATACACAAACTATCCAAATGAACAACACTATACAGATGTTGGATATGTAGGAGTGCCTCCTTAATGCACCCCAAGGATAGCAATAGTTCTATTGATGTGGTTGGAAGGTTTAAGTTCAACACATTTTTTGTAAGACGCTCAGCACAGGATCTGGTAGATGATAAATGTTGTTTGTTATGATGAGTGAGATACTATGTTAACAGCTAAAGGGGCTATAAATAGAACAAGGCTCCCTGTCCCCATGTGTGTTTGTGTGTGTGTAACAGGAGATGCTTAGGATGTTCTGGAAAGTGTGGTTCCAGTAGGCTATGATTTCTGAACCATTACTATCTTTTATATGAATTATGCAAACCTTGAATCATCTCCATTTAGAATGTCACTGGGCAATGTGATATCTTTCCTGGCAGATTTCCTTACAATTCTTGATTAGACTTCAACTATTTATCTTTGTTTGTCTCGCCTTCAAATATTCCACAAGGGTAGTTTTTCTATAAAACAAAAATGACTGCAAATCTTGCACAGAGCTGGGACATGAGGATAGGCTTTCAACTAATGGAGTCGAACTGCAGAGCTCTGATCTCTTATGGTGCTGCTAATGCAACGTCTGAATGGTGGAACCTCTGCAAGGAAATGAGTTCTTGGTACTTTTGATGTACCCATGAAGAAAAGTAATGGTAGAGGCAGGGAAAGGACCCAGAAGACAGGGGCTGTGCAGGAGGATGAGGAAACTGGTCTTCGAGGGGAAAAGACAGTTATCAGAGCTGTCAGGAAGAAGGGGTTAGAATAAGGACTATTTGTTGGAGCTGTCAGGGGCAATGACTAGATACCATGCAGAAGTGGGTAATACTGCTGCTCTGAAGATAAAATTGAAAACCTCACTCTATGCATATTGATGTGTTATAGCCTTGTAAGGAAGGGCATCATGGAAGTGATTTTCTATTTTAGTGTTCTTCCAAATCTTGACATTCATCGGAGCCTTCTAGCCCCGAGTAGAGGCCTCTTGATTGGTTTGAGGAGATGCTACTGGGAGCGGCCTGGTCTCCAAGCACCCTGATTCAGAGAGTTCTACAGAGCTCAGCCTGGTGGCAGTGGCTTCTACATCATGGTCGTCATTAAGGGGTCAAAGTATTTACTTGATAGTTAAGCAATTTTTTTTGGTTTTTTGAGACAGTGTTTCTCTGTATTGTTTTGGAGGCTGTCCTGGAACTAGCTCTTGTAGACCAGGCTGGCCTCGAACTCACAGAGATCCACGTGCCTCTGCCTCCTGAGTGCTGGGAATAAAGGCGTGCACCACCAACACCCAGCTACTTCCAGCATTTCTAAAGCTAAAAGCAATTTCTAGAATAGATTTAGGTAACAATGGCAATTTTCTCAAGAGTATGGAGAGAACTCTGTAGCAAAACTGGAACAAATTCCCAGCAATGAACTACCATTTTTCACTAGTGTCTGTTGTCTCTGGAGCCCATTTCTGGAGGGTTCTCCACGTTCTTCCGGGTTGTGCTCATTGGAGCCTCTTTTCATGTTTGTTAGAAACTGTTATTCAAAGTTGTTTATAGTGAATCAGCGTTTCTCTCTTAATCTTCCCACTTACTACTATAGGAAACAAAGCATTTGGAATTTAGTAACAACTCCTCCCATATGTATAGCTCCATGCCAGCCAGGGAACACCCAAGGGGCCCTGATAAACCCTTTCCCCAGACCCTGAGAAAATATGTGACTCTCTCCAGGATCCCTGTGAGATTAGAGAATGAGGGTGTGTGGGGCTGTTTCCAGTCTTTGGAAACATTTCTGGATGCTTTAATCTGTGGCTTTGGGGAGGAAGCTAGTCACCTCTTATTAAAAGCCCATTTGCCCAGTCAGTTAACTTTCCTTTCTGGTTAGCCCTGTTGGTCTCCGAATCTTACTGAAAGTCCTGGTAGAAATTTGGTTCCTATGGCTGAACCCTTTCTTTAGGTTGTGAGGCCCTTGCCCTTTCTGGGCACTAAGCTTTGGGCCTTATTTATAGAAGCAGCAAATCCTTGGTTGATATCCTGATACTGAATTTTGCTCACTAATTTTTAAGAATTATTTCTCCTTCTATCTCTTTGCCCCACCCTATCTCTTGCCTACATCTCCATCTTCCTCCTTCCTCTCTCCCTCTTCTCTTTGAGACAGGGTCTTACTATGTAGCTCTTGCTGTCTTGAAACTCACTATGTAGACCAAGTTGGCTTGGAATTCATAGAGATCTCTTTGCTTCTGACTCCTGAGTGCTGGGATTAAAGGTCTGTAGCATTATGATCAACTCCACTTTTTTTTAAGGTGGAAAGGCTGAGTTACTTGCTTAAATTTCCTTAGATAGGTAAGAGCAGATATATGTCTAGATCCTGGGTGTAAGGTAAAAAGGCCAGCCAAACAAACACACCCTAACCCTGAAACCAGAGCCAAAGAAACACACTCTGCCCTTGACAAACTCAGTACAATAACCAACCAGTCCCTGAGCAGGAAAACCAACCAATCTCTGTGCTTGTCCAAGCTCAGGGATTGAAATCTGGCCAACTATCACCCTGAAAATCTTCACCCTGGGAAAACTCCACCCCAAGAAGCCCTATATAAGTCCTGTACCTGTGCAGTTGAGAGTTTCCTTTTTCCGCCCTGCCTGGCAGAGGCAGCTACCTTCCTGGATTCTTCCCTCCTAATAAATCTCTTGAGTGAGGTTTGGGTGAGACCTTCTTTCACTGGAGTGGAGCAAAGCAGGGAAGTGAGCCAGAGTGGAACAGGACTGTTAAGGCTTTTGCTGGGGGAAACTTCCCCTAGAGAGCAGAATTGTTAGACTCCAGGGACCTGAGCAGAACTGTAATAACTTGGCTGGGTAAACCCTCCCCTGATGGAGCAGAGTTGTTACGTTGGGAAGCCCTTTCCATGGAGCAGGGATGTAATACAGCTGCTTCACTGATGGTGACTGTCGGATTCCTTGGCTCCCCGACTGCCAGGATCCCTTTCCATCCCAGCAATGCTGGGATGTATTTGGTGCCATGAATTGGCGCTAGACACTGGATTTCTTTTGGTATCCTATTTACTATTGTCAACTTCTTCTCATAAAATTTACCATTTCTCTCAAACACTGCTGAAGTTGAAAACCAACCAGATGGCCTGTTTTCCTTTGCCTCACACCTGTGCCATCAGCCCCACGGAGTACCTGGGTGATGTTTCAGCTGGTTCAGGCTCTGCTTTTGCTTAAGGATGCATGAAGTCTAGCAGCATTATTTGTAATAGCCAGAACTTGGAAGCAACCTAGATGCCCCTCAACTGAAGAGTGGATAGAGAAAATGTGGTACATATACACAATGGAGTACTACTTAGTGGAAAAAAAAACAATGGAATCTTGAAATTCTCAGTCAAATGGATGATACTAGAAGAAACCATCCTGCGTGATATAACCCAGTCACAAAAAGACAAACATGGTATGTACTCACTCATATATGGATTTTAGACATGGAACAGGGGATTGCCAGCCTATAATCCCATTGGCAGAGAGTCTGGGAAACAGAGAAGACTCTAAGAGAGATATGCATGGTACCCAGGAGAAGGGGAATGGGAGTAGATTGGAAGCATGGGGGGGGGAGAGGGAGCATAGAGAAAGAGAGAGGGAGAAAAGGAGGGGAGAGGAGGAAGGTTTAGTTGGGGGAAGAATAAAGATCAGGATGAGAGATATCATAAAAGAGGGAGTTATTATAGGTTTGAGAAGAGATCTGGCACCAGTGAGATTTCCAGAGATCTACAAGGATGAGACCAACTGGCAATCTAAGCAATAGTGAAGAGGCTACCTTAAATGCCCTTCCCTGATAATGAGATTGAGGACTACCTTATATGTCATCCTAGAGCCCTCATCCAGTAGCTAATGGAAGCAGAGGCAGACACCCACAGCTAAACACTGAACTGAACTCCTGGAACTCAGTTTCAGACAGGGAGGAGTGATGAGCAAAGGGGTCAAGACTGGGCTGGTAAAACCCACAGAAACAGCTGACCTGGAGGGTAGGGGAGCTCATGGATCCCAGACTGATGGCTGAGATGTCAGCATGGGATTTATCCAGACCATCTAGATTTGGGTGTTAGTGAGGAGGCCTTGGCAATCTATGGGGCCTCAGGTGGTAGATCAGTATTTATCCCTGGCATACGAATGGGTTTTGGGAGCCCATTCCACCTGGAGGGATGCTCTCTCAGCCTGGACACATGGGGGAAGACCTAGGCCCTGCCATGGATATGACAGACTTTGGAGAGCCCCCATGGAGAGCCTCACCCTCCCTGGGGAGCAGAGTGGGGACTGGGTGGGAGGTTGGGGGACTTGGTGGGGGGTAGGGGAGGAGGGGAAGGAGAGGGAGATGGGATTGACATGTGAAGCAAGCTTGTTTCTAATTTAAATAATAGTAATAATAGTAATAATAATGATAAATAGGATTCATGAAGTCTGATGGGGGTCTCCATGTATGTTCACTATGTTGGTGGAACACTGAGGGACCCAGAATGACCTTGCACAGACACAAAGGTAAAAAACTAAACCAGGCTGTGGTCTATGGGAAGGGAGGCTGCATAAAGACTGCAGAGGCAGAAGATGCTTCTTTTATATTGAAGTCTGTCCAAGCACACAGCACAGTGTGCCCAGTTGCTGTAAGAGGAGGGGCTGGTCATCTTGAAGTCTTCTTCCCATATTCTGCCACAAGTTCCTGCTGCAATGTGACCTCTGTGATGAACACCTGCGGCCCTGACTTCCCTC